AGTCTTGCTCTGTCACTAGGCTGGAGTGCAGTGCAGTGGGGCAATCCTGGCTCACTGCAACTTCCGCCTCCTGGGTACAAGTGATTCTCCTGCCTCAGCCTCCTGAGTAGCTGGGATTACCGACACCTGCCACCACGCCCAGCTAATTTTTGTATTTTTAGTAGAGACAGGGTTTCACCATGTTGGCCAGAATGCTCTCGATATCTTGACCTCGTGATCCGCCCACCTCGGCCTCCCAAAGTGCTAGGATTTCGGACGTAAGCCACCACGCATGGCCATAAGCTGTCTTATACTCTCACATTCCCACAGCCCCTCCATCGTGCAATGTTGGGGTGTCCACCCCCACCAGTCTGGCAGCCCTACCATGAACCCATGACAACACTGGGCTTCTAGTGGGAAGGGCTTTCACAAATACATTTAACCTGATTTGCTAAGTAAGTTTATTTGGAAGGGGAATGAACCTTTTTTGCTGCAACCGTTGTTTTAAAATATACCTTAAATGCAATCTTTTCTCCAACTCGAGGGGCAGCTGCTAACAGTGGTAACAGACTATAGTCCTTGTGTGTGTCCACTGGATTCTGAAAAATAGTGTTAGTCATGTGACATCATTACTGGTAAGAAAATATGAACCCATGACATGAACTCCACACTCTAAGGGGGAAGGGAGGAGGTAACTTATAAAAAATAATACTTACCTGGATAATAGTAGATGAATTTGTTACCACTTCATTTAATTGCTGTTGCCTCTGGTTGTCAGTGCTTCTATTCATAACACAGGAAACAGGATGCCCCCGTCCTCGACCTCTCCCCCGCATGCCCCGTCCTCTAGCTCCCTTCCAAGAAAAAAGGTTCTCTCCTCTACCCCAACCTCTTCCTAAACTAGTGGGGAGAGATATGCTGGGAGAAGGACCAGGAGCCTGTCCGCCACCATCTGAGCCAGAACGCTTCCATCCAGCAGCACCTGCAGTCTGTAATGACAGCCCTGGGCCTAGACAACCTCTTTCTGCAAAAAGGCCTACTGTCTTTAAGAAACCCGCAGCGCACTCTGGGGTGCTCAATGAGCACTGGTCATCTGAGTCTGAACTAGAGTCTGAACTAGAAGATGATGTTCCGGAGGTCTTGCCCTTGCTGGGGGTAAGGCTAAAGCCTGGTTTTGTAGCCAGTTTGTCTGCAGTTGTATTTCTGGTAGCGGGTTCTTCCTTTGATAACTCAGTTGGTAATTTCTCTGAGGAATTTCTGGCCTCCAAAGTGACTTTGCTGGGACCATCACTGATTGATTCATGACAAGACCCAGACTCTGAGGAGAAACTGGGACTCTCTTTTGAGCCAATGTTTACGCCACCTTTCCTTTTGGCTTTAGCAAGGCTGTTTCTAGCAGAACCTTTTGGAGAACTACATCTCTCAGTGGCCCAGTCTTTTACTGCCTGTACTTTAAGAGACTTGGGATTCTTGGCCTTTTTTTTATATTCACGTTTCTCCTTTTTCTTTAGTGGTTTTCTTTTGGTCTCTTCGTTATCACCCGCTGTGCCACCAGTTGCTTTATTTTTTCTCCTTTTTTTTTGGCTGACAGTCTTATCTGTGACAGCTTTTGGTTCCAGATCCAAGGCCTTCTCATTGTTACTGTTCTCTTGCCTCTTCCAACGCTTCTTTGAATATTTGTAATCTGGTTCAGTTTCTTCATCCTCCTCTAACTTAAATGACCGCTTCTTTGCTTTTCTAAGTGATAAATTAGTACTGTCACCATTACTGATGACTACAGAATTCTCAGCAACTCCTCTCTCTTCTAATTTAACTCTGTCAAAAGAACAAGAGAGAAAGCCTGAGTGAACAATTTGTAAACACGTCTCCAGGACTTAGTTATATACCAAGAAGACTCTACAAAATGTAACTACCATCAGTCAATGAAAAAATGCCACATCACTTAAAAAGACTCTTCTGACAAAATGGCCTATACAGCATTTACAGTCCACTTTCAAATGGCTAGTTTTATTTACTGGATAGCTACTGCATCCTAAACATTTTTTATACATTTTTCTCTAAACACCAACACAAAGCAGGTATTTTTAATTTTACAGATCACAAAATTACAGCTCAGACAAGTTACTTGTCCCAAATCTAGACCTGATTTAAGTAGCAGAAAGGCAATTCAAACTTTGATTTGTCTAACTTCAAACTCTCAATCTTTCTATGCATGTCATAGAAAGGTGACATATGCATGTCACCTACCCTAAAAGGTGATAATGATGGTTATCCATTTTGTTTCAGAATATGAGCTGCTGTCTTTAAAAAGATTTTAGTCTTATTTTAATTAAAGTAAATACTAAACAATTTATGTTATCTAGAGCAGTGACAGCCATCTGTACAATTCCATGACACTCTGTGAAGCTTAATTTTATATATCAACTTGACTGGGTTATTGGGTGCCCAGATATCTGGTTAAAATTACTCTGGCTCTTTCCACACCATCACAATAGTGCAGATGGTATCCTGGCTGATGTTCTCAAGAGCATCAACAATGCTGAAGAGCATGGTAAATGCCAGGTTCTTATTAGGCCAAGCTCCAAAGTCATTGTCCAGTTTCTTTTTTTAATTTAATTTTATTTTTTGAAACAGAGTCCCACTCCGTCACCCAGGTTGAAGTGCAGTGGTGCAATCTCAGCTCCCTGCAACCTCTACCTCCTGGGTTCACGCAATTCTTGTGCCTCAGCCTCCCAACTAGCTGAGATTACAGGTGCCTGCCATCATGCCTGGCTAATTTTTGTATTTTAAGTAGAGATGGAGTTTTGCCATGTTGGCCAGGCTGATCTTGAACTCCTGGCCTCAAGCACTCAAGTGATCCACCCACCTTGGCCTCCCAAAGTGCTGAGATTATAAGCATGAGCCATCGTGCCCAGCCCCATCATCCGGTTTCTTACTATGATGATGAAACCTGGTTACACTGACAAATCTGAAATCACCGATAATCACAGAGCTAAAAAAAAATTGATGTGATGCCGGGCGCGGTGGCTCAAGCCTGTA